AAGGGATCTTCTTCTTGCATATGTTGGACCTGTACGCCTCAAAAAGTTATCTAACTTCATTTTACCTAGGCAGATTTATGACATACCAATGACTGAACTGCTTGATACATTTCGGTGTGTTTATAAACCTAGTTAAACAATCTTTGCAGCGAGACTAGACTTTGAAAAATGTGTGAGAGGAAATGATGAGAGTTTTTCAAATTTCGTCTTACGTTTAAAAGAGTTAGCCTCCTACTGTAAATACGACAGGTATTTTGAGGAAAGAGTAAGGGATAGATTTGCTGGTGGCGTTAACTTTCCACAGTTTGAAGTTGAAATCAGGCAAAGGTGGCCAGAAGGCATAAATAAAGATGGTTCACTTTTAACTTTAAATGAGTTGGTAGATTTAGCTGAAGCGATGGATAGAGCTAAGCGGGAAATGAATATTTTAGAAGAAGCTATGCCTGTAATTAACAAGGTACATAACTATGATAAGAAAAATAGATCTTTGGCAAAAGAAACATACAGCCATTCTACAGAAGATTGTAATCAGTGTGGACTAGTACACAGTGGAGAATTTTGTCCAGCTCAAAAGTCTAAGTGTTTTTCATGTGGAAAGCAAGGTCATTTCTCACGACAATGTGGAAACAAAAAGACAAAACAATGTCACTTCTGTGGAAAGATGGGTCATTTTCCGCGACATTGTCATTCAAAAAAGGCCTATTTGAACCAAATCAACGACACAGACATAAAATCTGAGGAAGAAGAGGTACAGTTAGGAATTTCTGAACTTAAACCTAATAGGAAGATCCCAAGAGCACAAATTAATGTTACCCTAAATGAAGTACCAACAACCATGGAGTTTGATTCAGGAGCTAGAGCATCGATGATTGATGCACTCCTGTGGAAACGAATTGGATCACCAAATTCGAGGGCATGTAAAACAAAATTTGTCGCTTATGGAAACAATACCCTGGATGTTTTAGGAGAGTGTGAAGTTAATGTTAAAGTTTATGGACAGATTAGGAAACTTAAGGCTGCTGTGGTAAATGGAAACGAATCTCCTTTGTTTGGATTACCATGGATGCTTCTTATATGTCGAATTGAATGTCTCTTGAAAAATGCTTCCATTTCAGTAGAGACAAACTGTGGCCCGTTGTCAGTTACTACTTGTGATGGTATCCCATACCTGCTCATCCACGATCTTAATCTTTGAATTATGGCAGTTGAAGTCGTTGTTCTTAAACATTCAACTTCTGCCCACTTAGATAGCGTGTCAATCCCTACTAACCACATTACTCCATCAACTGGTCCAGCTAAATCCAAATGAACATTAAATGAGTTTAAGTTAGTTCTTGATTTTATTTCACTGTCCATCACCGAACAGCTGCATTTGAGAAACTTCCTTCTCAATTAGGTGTCAGGCTCCTTAACTGTCTTCCTGAAAGGCTTAAAAGTCTGGAAAGTTCCCTTCTACTCAAAACAAAACTGAAGCGTGACTTGAAAAATCAGGCGTTCTATTCGGTTGATGAAATCACTGCACACCTTTGGAGTTAAGGGCCATAGTATTATATTCCTCAGGGGTTATGAGTTAAATATTTTAAGGCTTTCTTAATAAATGTAAAATGTTTTTCAGTTTTCCACCATTTCTTTAATGTATTGATTTATTTGTTTAAAGTTAAATTTAATTTAAAGTGTAATTTTATAAAATAACCTCTATGTAACTATAAATATTAGAATAACTATTATATGCTACACGATGTAAAAATTGTCAAGAGCAATAAATAAATAAATAAAGTAGGTGTATTTCATCATTTGACAGCATTACAATATCACTTATCAGCAAGGTTATGGAGACATTATAAAGTGCTGCAATGTAGAGTCGACTCACTCACTGGTGACAGACTCTGTTTTAACCTCACTGTCCAAGGTTACAGGAAATGCGTAGAGTTTGTCAAGAAGTTTAGTCTTCCGAACCTGATGGTTGGTAGAGGTCGCTACACAATCCGCAATGTTTCCTGGTTGTTCCAGGTACGAGACTACAGTTGCTTTGGAAGTGGAGTTTCCCAATGAACTTCCCTGTGACTACTTTGAGTACTTTGGTCCCGATTTCAAATAGCCCATCTCCCCATCCAACATGGCTAACCAGAACACTTGTGATTACCTTAAGAACAGATTAAGAGAAAAGTATAACTGGAGATGATTACGAACAGGTTGTTTGACAACTTTCAAACAATCTGCCTCATGCTCCGGATGCTCTGTCTGATGCTGCCTCGTGCTCCGGATGCTCTGTCTGATGCTGCCTCACGCTCTGGGCAAGCAAATTCTAGCCATTGTGGACGATGGAATCAGAGAAAAATCAGAAGACAAGAACAAAAAAATCCTGGTGAGAGGCTGCCTCAGAGTCTCCGAGATAAGCTTATGAAAATGAGCTGAGTGACTGTGAAGATGCGGGTCCTGGAGGTGGTGGTAGACGAGACAACCGATTGTTCAAGGAAAAGAAGCATGTTGCTGACACCAACATCAACAAAATTAAGACAAATAAATGACGACGGAGAAAAAACAACAGATAATATGAACATAGAATCAGGACCAAACCCTTGATAATCTAACAAAATTAACTATCTTGTATTTAATATGAAGACTAAACCAAACTCTGCTACCACATATATAAACTCACCAATGTTACTTATAATCTGTTCACAAAATTTAGGCTGTTTGATGGGAAGTTCCTCACTTTTTTTGTTTAATGTTTGTTGCAGCTGTTTGACATGTTGAATAAAATGTTTGTTGATATCTACTTGTGTCACCACTCATAATCTTTACCTTTAGTTCTGAACTATTAATTTTCCTTTTGTGTTTTATATTTAATATCATATGTTCAGCTGTTTATTGTTTATTTATATTTTGTAAACAAATATTCAATTACATTCTGTAGTTCAACCAAACAAGACCTATCTCTTCTCTTTCTTTTTATAATAAACTGTTTTACTACTTAAATTACCAACAACCTGCGTTCTGCCAATAATAATAATATTAACTATGATGTCCTCCTCCGGTTTGGAAGTGGTGGAGGACAAAACAAATTATATTAGTGATGGCGGGGGCAGCGGTGTTAACAACTTGTTACCTCATCTGTCGAGCTATTGTATTAAGGGTAGGGTGATGTGGAGGGAATGGATTTCTTCCCCTATAACCACCCAAATGTTAATGGAGTTTATTAAAGGGTGACTAAGAATAGCAGATTCAAAGCTATCCTAAAATCCCTGCCACCGTAGCATATCCCCTTGGATAGCATATTTCCTTGACTGTACTGATTTGGAATGGATGAAAGTAGCAGAACAGAAGATGTACCAAGCACAGTCAGTGGGTTATTAGTCCAGGCAGACAACAGATGACGCTAACCTGGCAAAGTTTTGCAGTCTGGACTTAAACTCCACCGGGTTAGTGTTGTCTGTTGTCGTAACTGATCAGTAAATGTTTCGTGTCCGTAAACGTGTTTTGTGTCGTGTGTAAATGTTTATTTATTTTTACGTGTTAAATCTGACGCTCTTCATGTGAAGAAAGAAGAAGTCCTTGTACCGCCTGAAGATGACTCACATAGGAGTCAAAACTAGTTGCAACTCCAATTAAATAGATTGCTTGATAGCAGGTATTTAAACCTTTTTAACAGAATATAATGGCTACACCCTAAACCCCCCTTAGACTTTGAATTTTGTAAACCCCCATCTTATTGCATATCTACACCATACAAGGACCCTGTATGTCATATTTGATAATTCTAGGTTGTATATTTTGTGAGATATAGCAAGGGAACACTAAATAAACAGGCTGTAATGCTCCTCTGGCATGAAGTCATCATAGGCGATGGCAATGACGTAATGTTTTCCATTTGTGATCAGCTGCTTGTTTTAATCTTTTCTTGGAAAACAAAAATATAACAAAAAAAAGTTAACATTACGTCATTGTCTTTGCCAGAGGAGCATTGCAACCTGTTTATTTAGTGTTGCCTTGGATATAGAGATCTTTTAGTCAGTCAGTGGTATTTGTCTTTTAAAAGTATAGAGATAACTTGTACCGATTTTGTTGTATTATACAACAAATTAATACAAGTAGACGCGAACAACCAGTCAGCTGATTAAACAATAGACGACGATACCCACAGTGCACTACGAGGAGTGGGGATGATTTTAGCCCAGCCAGGAATCGTCAGTCACTAGTAGAGTTGTTTCCGCCCTTCCCAAGGTAATAGGTGATCCAAGTTTGGTTCGTGCAAATTAAATTAATTCACAGTGTTTGTCGGTCAATTCATATTTTCATTAAATCGTGTAGCCTATATCCCGCAGGGATATATTTGCAGCGCGTGGTGAAAATAAAATCAGTTTCCAGAAACAAGTGTCGTAAATTTACTTTAACGGCTAGCACAAACCGCCATTGGAAAGTTCACGTTCTGTCGATCGAAAACTCATTCACGTTTTTTGAGGAAAGATCACCTATTGCCGTAATTCCTTCCCTTATAGTGTGTTTAGTGTCGGACGTCCAATTTTGTAAGTAATCTATGTTCTTTATTGTTGTAGTTATATTTTTCAGTGAGTCGCACATGTGGTAAATTTTCCTGTTATAGTTTGTTATTTCTTGCTATATGAGCACATGTTTTCAGTTTAAGTTCTTACAGGTGATTTTTATATCCGTTTTTAGACAGTCGATCAGTATCATATCGTAAACTGTAGTAATCTTACGATATTAAGGTTAAATAAATGAAAACGTTTTTGTAGAGTAATTCAGAGTTACTTGCTAAGAATTTTATAGTAGTATAAATATTTGTAAATTCATTATCTTTACTTTGCCGTTCCATTCAAACAAAGATTTATGCAATTTTGTCCAGAATTTTTTTTTAATAATATATATTAGATTAAATAAAAAACATATTTAATTAAATTAGTGCTTATCGGTAACCGGGTTATTGAATGAGAGTGCTATTGATTTCATTACCCAGGACTAAGATGACACTTGGATTGCAGATGAAGCACACTGATACTGAAATCGATGATTTCAGTCCATGGACTGTTTCTCCAAAAGGAGTTTCACGACTTGAAAATGAGTTTGAAGTTTTGCAATTTGTTGGAAAAGGTGCTTTTGGTGATGTCTTGCAGGTAATAAAATGTAATTACTCTAACTGTAACTCTTATACTTAATAGCAATTTAGTTCTTAATTTGTCTATTTTATATCTTTATTCTTATAATGCATATTATTCACAGACAATCTTAACTCTGAATAACAATCTTTAAAATATTGGCCATCATTTAAAAACTACTATTTACAATAAAATTGTATGTATTGTAACTACATACATTACAATGATACTAGGGAACCTGTGCGGCTCAATGAGCTGCACAGTATGAAACACAACGCCGAGGAAAACATTATGCTTAAATTCGAGTAATTCTATAGTTACATCTTAGAGTTGTTTAAACACTTGTTAGAAACTAATTTCAAATACCTCTATTTGCGTCGTCAAGGCTCACCTACATTATTTCTGCTCTTAGTTTTAACTGATAACTTCTAATGAATGCTAAACGATCTGATTCAATTTGAGTTAACATGTTGCAACACACTTTTTTCAGCATTGAGAATTGAAGAAAACTGTTACCTTACTGATAACCTGTGTTAAGTTGGGTCTTTTTATTTCTTTGATTTGAGACATTCCCCTAATCAAACAAATTTTCTCCATAGAGAATCCTGAAAAGTGGGGTGATACCAACCATTTCATGTTCTCCATTTTTAACCCACAAACTCTGGGTTACCAACTGGACAGCTATAATCTGCTTTGAATAGGCTAAAGCAGCAGCACCATTGAAAGTTGGTTAACATATTTTAAGGTGTTGTCTGTCAGTCACAGTATATGCCCCGCATCAGAACATTCTCACGTTGTTCAGTGGAGTTTCTCTTAATACCTGTCCATAAGTTTTGAATGTGTCGAAATAGGTTGGATAACTCTAGTAGCTATAAGATTTGGATAGCAATTTTAATTTTATCTTTTTGAACAGCGTAATATATTATTTGCCTCACCTGAATCATAAAAATAAACTTGACCATAACTCGAGTGGATCGTTGAATACATTAACACTAATTCCTTCACGTATGTTTGGTCTAATATTGCCACTAAAACTTTCAATAGTAAATGAGTTTTTGAAACTTGTTATTTTTGGCTTGAAATGTTTGGATTGTGCAGGTGAATTCAGTAAAAAACTTTTTATAAGTTTGTCCGAGCAACTGGCAACATAACCTAGGAGTAAACAATCCATTTGCGTTTTTTCTCAATTGAAGTAGAGCGAGTAATACAAAAGTTTACAATAAAAACATAAGGTCCGCCAAGATTTGGTATAATCTTACTACTTGAACTTGTCGTAGTCAAGGCATTAATATAGTTTGTACTAAATGTTTTGAAATATCTCAATCTGTCAGTGTCAGAAGTAAACATTTCTTGCATGCATTCATTTGATCTGACATTAGGCAAGTTTAATTTACCACCATGACAACACTATGTGCTTCGTATATTTTTTCACTTCCAAATTATGTTGCATAGCAGAACTGGCAAATTACTCATCTCACCAAGTGAATGTGTATCTGGATGGGTATCTGTGGGACCAGACCTCTCTTTTTCTACTCTCCTCATACGCATAAGATATCTTATTATTAATTGTCTCCTCCCGTTTTCAATATTTCTTCTTTGAACTTGAGGCATCTTCTGTTCTTCCAACAAAACTGATTAACTGTTTAACTTGGTCTTAACCTACTGAATATTACAAACATTAATATTTACTCCCAAAAAGCTATAGTTCGGCCGCTTAGAAAGCGACCTCCTCCAGCATTGGTTTAGCATTAGCGTGCAGGTCGTTTTCTAAGTGGCCGAACTATAGTGAGTTTCTTTTTTTAAACAGCTGTTTTTTGTTTTTAAATTTGTTCAATGTATTTCTTATGGGGAAAACCAGACTTTTGAGAGGGCCTCACACCCTTAAGAGTACGAATTTTAAAATTCTAATACCTTAGTGCAAAACTACATATAAAGACAAACCTTTTGACACCTTAAACTTAAAAATTGGTCTACAAATAAGGGAGGAGTTGCGTTAACAAAAAACGGCTTCACGTATTATATACAGGGTGACAAAAAAGTCTGGAAACGGCTTGATATCTTATTAACTAAATTTATTAAAAAATTCAAACCTTTCACATCAACTTATATGTATGAAAACCACTTTTTGCAAGCATTACCATTTTTGTACCTTCACCAGGGGACGGCCCATAAGGAGTAGGTACATAATCTTTAATGTAAGCATAGGTTGTTGTTATGCACATCATTTTAAAGGTCTGGTCAAGTGGAGTTCATTGCCGGAAACCGCGTTAAAAAAGGTCCATCCGTTACAAAATGGCGGCAGTCCAAAGTTCTTGCGGAATATACCTGCACAGGCCTTAGTTTAATGGTAAATACTCATAGTCAACATTAGCCGGGAAGTATGAAACCCGCTTAAATTTGTTTTGAAGATTGGTTAACTTAGTCAATGAGCTAGTTGACTTTAAAATACAACGAGGTGTTAGCCCGTCTTACGTACGGGATTAGTCAGTTAAAACTGTGTATAAATCAGAACAGCTAGCGTACACGTATAAAGACAAATTTTATAGCATCCTACAGTAGAAAGAGTAATTATCAATTGAGAAAGTGTATAGGCCTAGTCAACGATATCACCTTCCAATTACATCGCATATTTGCCTCTTCCATAATCAATATCAACACAATACAATTACTCATACTATACACAATTTCCAGTAGGTCTGAATAGAAACTCCCTAAAATAAAACGAAAACATCCAATAAAATTCACAGTACACATAATTATAAAGTTGGTGTCCTGACATCATTAAACGAATCGTCCACACATATCCTTTATATCAATTTCACTGCATCAATTGCTAAATAAATAAGTGTAAACAAAGAAAAGTCAAAACAACAACATATAGTTTGTTTTAGTAAACAGCTGAGTCGAAAATAAAATAATATTCATTTAAACAAAAGGACTGGTCACATGTTGAAGGAATTTAAAACGTAAAACACTAGTAAAGCTAGTGACGTAATTAATTGTCTATGTTTATTATCCATTCCTTCTAATATCCTTAATAATTAAACAACCCTCATTGAATCAATATACACTGTAATTCCCCGTATTCATTTATTTAAACTATACAATTCAGCGCCTCCAAACAACCACAACTAAACACACGCCAAACTTTTAGATTTCATAAAAAGATTGTTAGTCTAATTGCAGTATCCTAGGTCAATGATGACGTTGTGCTCAATCTATGTCATTCATTTGTATATCTTTGGATAAAACCCGTCTGGGCTGTGGTGGCAATTTAAAATTGTATTCCTGAGGATTCTTGTTCTCCTTCTTTATGACATCAATATTTCCGGGCCTAATCCAAACCAAGTTTAATTATTCAAAAACATTGATTGTGAACAAACCAAGATGAATTGAAACGTGTAAAAAATGGATTTTCCTACCCTTTCCTAAAAAAGTTGAGCAGTATAATAATTTGCATATCCTTTTTTAAGACTCGTGTACAGAGCCTCGACTTGTATACATTGATGGTGTTACTTTTCTCGGTGGTCTACTAATCTTACTTATTTCCTAAAAATCAATGAAAAATCAGAGTAAATAAAATAACCTCATAGTTCTACAGAGCATTTTCATATTTAACCAGCTGTTAGTTAAAAGAAAATTATATTTCACTAAAACAAACCGAAGATTACAAAGATTTATTTAAAAAAAATCCTTTGAACATCCTAGTATTTTACCTATGTATATTTAAATAATCTGTCATCCTCTTATCGAAGGATTGAACGTATCAATGATTAGCATTACACATAGTATAAATAAGTCAACCCTTAGTATGTCTTTTAATTTTATCCAAATGCTGAATTTTTGTTACAAACGCTGAATGTTTACAGCTGTTATGATAAACAAATTATATTACACCAAAAGCTCGTTTAGAATCTTAGCATCGGCTGCTAGACTTTTTAAAAATTAAAACTTAATTTCAAAAAAACTGAAACCCTAAACTAAAATTATGGCTTCGACATTCCCTAGTTCTCAAAATTATCTCTCTTTCAACACAAAAATCATGAAAATCTGTCGAGTGGTTGTTCCAGAATCGTGAAATAAAAAAACACTGTTTCGTTTTAATATTATAGATTCCAGCTCTCATGCTAATGTTTAATATGAGTATTTACCAATACTAAGGCCTGTGCAGGTATATTCCACAAGAAATTTGAACAGCCGCCATTTTAAATAAATAAATAAAATTGCCTTTATTGATCAAGCGTTTCTCAGTACAACTGCTTTTCAGAACAACTCTCGTCATATTATAAGTAACAATAACTTATAACTAACAATAACTAACAAACAAATAAATAGAAACAATAACAAAACAGAAACAAGAAAATCTATATAACAACTAATCATTACAGTACAATTCCTTAATTTTGGCTCTAAAAGATGGCAAGGCATATTTTTGAGGCCAGATGGGAGGTCGTTGTACAGCTTTGGGCCGAAGTACGAGAAGCTTCTCCTTCCAAACTCAAGCCTCACTCTTGGAAAGTGAAGCTTTTGCATTCGGTTCGGTACATTTCTTCTCCAGAGATGCTGTTTCCATAAGCAGGGAGACAATATGCAAACACCGACAGAACCAGTGACTGCATGAGGCGCAGCTTTGCAGATTCTGGCAGCAGACTTCTGAACATGTACAGCCCTCTCAGCCTACCTAACACGCGCTGCGAAGCATGTGTGACATGGTCAGAGAAGGTGAGCAATTGCAAGCAATTCAAAAGCATACAGAATTTGGATGCCACAACAAAAGCAGGTTAAAATTGCAAGAGATGTAAAAGTTCTTTCAAAAATGTACTATGAAAGAAATGAAGATGTAAATGATTACAATCTTCTTGAGCAAAATAAAATAAAAGAAAGTGATAAAAAAGATCAAGATTTTTGCATTATTCCGATCAAACAGAGCGAAAATAATGATGACCAGTCTGATTTTGACACTATATTTGAAGAAGAAAATGACAGTGAAATGGAAAATGATATTATTTTCGAAGATG